GGTTTGACTAGCATTTTGATAAAACAGTAGCAATTCTTATCGTAAAATATGACTATCAAGATGTGTATAGTTCCCTAAGTTGACAATCAGTAGGAAATTCTACCAAGATAATTAACTTATTGTCAGGGTACTCTGCTTTCAGAGGTATGTAGTAAATATTGGCTCTTTGCTGTTGAAATGGACAATCTGAAATACAGGTGAAAGCTTTCTTCTTCTGTAGCATGAAATGAAAGTTATATCTTTTTTATTATGTTTTAAAAATTGCAATACGTGGGAGATGGATGTGAAGTTGAGCCAGGTGACAAGAGGGGCACTGTAAAATTTGTTGGCCAAGCTGAACCCCTTGGACATGGATTTTGGGTTGGAGTGCAATACGATGAGCCACTCGGAAAGCACGATGGCATGTATGTTCATTCTCAAACTATGAAAGTGATGAATAGTTGATCTTTGAAGCAATAGCTCCTTGAAACATTTTTCTTTGATTTCTCGGATGCTGCAGGGTGAAAGGCGTCCGCTTCTATGTGTGCCCTCAAGGGCATGGAGCAATTGTCCAGCCAGAGAAAGTAAAGGTATCTGTCCTTGCTACATGACATACAATGCTTACGACCTGGCAACTGGTGCCATAATTTTGGCTGGATGGGTATTATTGCCGTGGCTGAACTTGAACGGTGCTTCCTCAAATAATTGAATTTCATATATATCCTCTAGGCTTTGTTCCCTTAAAACAAATTGCGCCTTAAAACAAATGGTGCTTGATCACGATGGCGGTTTGGTTGCAATGGCAAGTTGGCAACAGCATGTTTCAGTGCACGTTAGGATGGTTTGCATGATATGGTATTATGATTGCGACGTCGGGTTTGTTGGATTGTCATGACGTTTCAATTGATGTATTGGAAGAGTTACAGAGGGGCAATTTATTCTAGCCTGCAGCAGAAACCTACCTTACATTATATAAGCAACTTAAGCCAGAGCTAAAAGCATGTGCCCCTAGTAAGATGATTGTGAACATGCATAAAGTGCCAGTAGTATTTGTTATTATGGTGGAAAAAAGAACTTATCCTTCTGCAGCGTGTCAAACTTTAGTCAGCAAAGGGAGAAGGAGTTGGCCTTCGACTGACTAGCAGAACTTGTCTAGTCATACTCCGCCTAAGAAGCAACCAAAGTTACTAGTCGTTCTCAACCTAAGAATGTCCATGCCCTCATTTTCCTGGGTGTTCAAAATGTCATGTTAACCTTTAAGCAGTCCTGAGTCATGGTCCCATTTTTATTTTGTGCTGTGTAAATGCTCTGAAGCGTGCCATGGAATCCAATATGTGTGGTGGTCTTCAATCAGTAACATAATCTCTTCCTTATTTTTTCCTAGGCTCCTTTGTCTAAGACGCTATCTTTTGAAACCCGTTCCCTACATAATTTTCCTCATTCTCTTTCTGTGTTTTGGCTGGGAGCTACCTCTTTGATTTACCTCTTTGATTGATAATAATCTTCCGTTTCTGTCATCGCTTCTCTCTCTCTCCCTATCGGGCTGTCCAGTCATTTTCTGATTGTGTTGGCCTGTTCAAAATAGCACTGGAAGGTTTTCATTGGGTCTTAATGATCAAAACCATTAGCCCCGGGCCATCAGTTTGTCGAGCCTTTTGTTGGGTCTGGGGAACATGGGAGTTTTTCCACTGTGAGAGAACCAATGGAAAAGATGACAAGAATCTGGACGGAGGCATTTTTTTACACACATGTACACATGCCAGTAACTGGACAAAAAGTCGACTGTTGCTCAAAGGAAAAATAGCTGACTGTTGATTAGGCACTCCCATTTAGTTGAAAGCATCAGAGAAGCTTCCTTGACCAACACGGTAAATCAAGAAAACAGCAGTAGGAGCCACAGCAACAGGAGCTGAATATGCAACAGCAATCCGGGGATGCATGCCCAGATAGAAACTAAGTTCCTACTCACGAACCATATAACAAGCTACACCAAGTAAGAAGTGTATAACAATTAGCTCATAAGGGCCACCATTGTATAACCACTCATCAACAGATGCAACTCCCAAATTGAACAATAGCACCAGAGATAACATTTACTATATTTATACTACTTGGTAGTTGGTCCTGTGCCGCACATTCGTGGCTCTAGTGATTCAACGTGTTCCGCTGTGATTTAGCAATAGAGCCCTTCAGTCTTGTAAGTCCTTGCCTTGGTAAGATGATTCATTATGTGTTATCTTATTCTGCAGCATTATTTAACAGTGTACTATATGTCACCCTTTGCCACCATGATACTAGCTCTACCAGCAATATTGCTCGAAGGAGGCGTTGTAATCAACTTGTTCTACACTCACGACCCCATCTTTTCTATGCTGATTATCATCCTCGGCTCAGGGGTGCTCAACTTCTCCATCTTCGACGTGATCTGTTCAACCACAGGGTGCCCTTCAATGTTACTGGCAATCTTAAAGTAAGATCATCCTGGACTATGTTTCCTTCTCTCCAACTTTGACTTGGTTTACTCTGGATGAACCATATGTGATGACAATAATGACCACCACTACATGCTTCTGTTTATGTTATCGTTTGTGATAAACTCCTTTTTGGAGTGGAGAGTAATGTGTAACCCTATTTTCTGCAGAAGCTGAATTCCAAGTTTCCCCAGATGGTGTCTTGTGTCAACTTCATACGATCTTCCATCGGAGCTTACGGTGCAATCTGCATGCTCAAAGCGAAGCCATTGATCAAGTCGAGTCCAAGGACCATTGGAAGAGGATTTCCCCCATGCCATTTGGCGTTCTACAAGAACATTGTGCTCGGAAATGACACTCCGGTCTCCTTCACTCCTGCAACCACATGTACCATGGCATCATCGTGCGCTTCTTACTTCCACATGTTTCCTGTAAAAAATAAGTAGTAGAGTTGTGGTGTTGCTGCCTATAACATCTTTTTCTGATTCAGTGTGATGCAGTTGTTCTGCAGTGGTTAGTTTGGAGCAAGCATTTTGAGTGGTGGGATACTGACAGGGCTTAGTTCCAACAGTTTTGGTTTCTATTCTACCATGGTTGGCTGCCTCGCCATGTGTACGTTGGCAGAGTCCTTCTTCATGGGTGCACATTTGACAGGTACATGCACTGGTGCTTTAGCGGCTGGTGTGGTCTGGCATATAGTACAATGTTAAAGCATTTTATAGGATCGTCTTTCTTTGTAAAATTATTAGTTTCCTTTCGGGTTGGAGGGTCAAAAGATTTAGTTATTGCTGTAATGTTACTGCCAAATTCAATCTTCTAATCTCTTGACTCGGTAAGATAATTTATTATGTGTTTTCCTTATCTGCAACATTAACATGGCACCCTTTGCCGCCATGATACTGACTATGCACACACATGACTTGATCTTGTCTGTGCCGATTATCATCCTAGACTCAGGGGTGCTTGCGCTTGGCCTTAACTTGTCCATCTTCCACGTGATCCAATCAACCACTTACCAGCGCAGTGAACTTGAATGTTGCTGGCAACCATAAAGTAAGACCGACCATTCTGGACTATGCTTATATGTTTGTTATATAAGCAGGAATCGATCCTCGCGCTGCAGGCTGCTGTTGCGGTATCGGTCTCATGGTTGACCTTCCGGAACCCCAATGAATGCAATTTGGTGCGCAATCATGCTCGTCGGCTGTACTTTCTCCCAACAGCCCCCGAGGAGCCAAGGAACGAAACCTTGGCCACTTCCCATAGTTTGCTATATAAAGCAGGAATGTAAAGTAAACCTAGAATGACATATACGTTATGTGATTTGACTATGCCGGTTTTGAAATGTACAACAACCTATAACTGAGAGGATCCGTGTATTTTGGACCTCACTTACTCCAAAAGTCTGTGCAGACTTGGTAGAAATTAACAAGTGACACTCATTGTATGTACACTGCTTGGAAAAATAGCTAAAAAGAAGTCAGAGGATGAGCTGGATAACAGAAGGAGACAGCGAGAGAACTTCATCAGTGAACAGAGCATGCCTCGGCTTTGTCCTGGTTGAGAGATTTTTATTTTTTATTTTTGCCCCACTGTTGTTTGGGCACTTTGGTTGTGTGGATTTGGTAGAGGATGCTGCCTTCACCACCTGTGCCGGCGCGATGGTCCGTCATTAGGTGGGTGGTGCGGACAGGTCACGACCCGACAAGCAGCACGAACATTGAGTGATGTTTCCATTAGATACATCCGTATCTAGGCAAATCTCTTATGGGTGGTGCGGACAGGTCACGACCCGACAAGCAGCACGAACATTGAGTGATGTTTCCATTAGATACATCCGTATCTAGGCAAATCTCTTATGGGTGGTGCGGACAGGTCACGACCCGACAAGCAGCACGAACATTGAGTGATGTTTCCATTAGATACATCCGTATCTAGGCAAATCTCTTATGTGAGAGAGGGAGTAATAAATATACAAGGGCAGTTTACTCCTGTCACCAACCTCTTATGTGAAAAGGAAATCCTATACAACTTCAGTTGCAGAATCTGTTACGTAGATTGCATCCCAACTTGTTAATTGACTCAATTATTTTGTTTGGGCTGTGACTTGCAAACTCGAGACCATCCTAACTAACTTGTATTTCTTCCCTGGGTAAACAAAGCACAAGATCTACCATCCCTGGAGGACACCCTTCACAAGCAATGCATCAATGGTACCAGGTGGGAGATTAAATGCAGGACATCCCAATCTTACATAATATTTCTATTAAGCAGCTGAGCAGAATATTTGCAATGGCACACAGCACAAGTAAACACAATGCCAGTACAAGCAAACTTGGCTTTCAAGGCTAGTTCCTGAATATTTCACACAAAACGACTGCTCATTAACACATAAGAGTCAAATAATATAATATAGACTTCATACATACTACTTGCCGACATACAAAATATAGAGTCGACATGCCACTTGGCAACATACAAAATAATATATATAGTTGATACATGCTACTTGCCGACATACAATTACCACTCCTGATTACAGATAGCACACTACACCTGGGTAGCATATCCCTCCAGCAACATCTCCATCTTGTCTCTCACAACCCGGGACCATGCAACGGTAATCTTCACCTCAGAACCACAGATGAAACAGCTATCCTGACTAATGTTGCACCACTTGGAAGGGAAGTGGACAAGATCAGAGATAGAACCAGAATCAACATAGGCTGTTACCTCAACAGTCACTCCTTTTTCAAACTCTACTGAAATGGCGTTTCTTGACAAAGGAACATAACCATCCAAAACTACTTGGTCTTCTCTAGTAATTTTTTCAGTAGAATCAAACAGCACAACCCTCTCACGGCCAGAAACAATACAAGCAACCTGACCCCCAGAGCTAAAAGGGAACTCCCCTCCAACAACACGAACGGACAATACAGTGAGCTGGACCGTCGTAGGAAAAACCTCAAACCTCAACTCTGCAGTACAGAATGGGCTATCGAAGAGTAAAGGTTGCTCACCGCCGCCGTCTGCTTCTTTATACCGCTTGCTAACACACATCAACTGTGTATCATTGCGCTCATCATCTCCATCACGTACTTTTAGTTCAACTTCAAAGTCAACATAATCCCCAACTAGAATTGCACGAGACGGGCCAGTCAAGCGCAGATAAGAGTCCTGCAATCATTAGATTAAATCATCATTATAGTGTTTGGCTGAAGAGAAAGAAAAATAGTACTTAAACGACCTAGAGGCCATATATTTATTATGGTACGGTCAGATCTCCAGTCTCATTTGCATCCCGTTTGTCCATCCGCACCTTATGACACACACAGGTACTGGTGAATAATAGGACAGCGAGTGCCAGCGAAATAGTAAGTAATTTTTTTTGTCTCAGTGGTAGTATAAAAAATCATACTAGTAGTAAGAGGTCACCAAGATAATAATAATAGACTAAACAAATAAAGTTGAGCATGGATATTTTACTTACTTTTATCTTCGAAGCCGCCGCACCGTCCGGAGTTGCTGCCACTTGAGCGTTCCCAGATGCTACGGTGGCCGATTTTTTGTCGAAAGAGACCCTCTGCCCACTGGAATTGACAAAAGAGACCCCCCGCGGACGAAATAGACAAAAAAGACCCCCTCACAAGTGCGGCAGGCGCGGCAGGCGACACGTGTCACCTGCCGCCACGCCATGAGGCGGCCGGCCCGGCCGCCACAACAGGAGGTGGCAGCCCGGTGTATAACGGTGTGTGCACAGTGCACAGTCCGGCGACGTAACGGGCCGCGCCAGGTGGGCCCGGCCGCCACCGGGTGAGGCGGCCGCCCCTGCCGCTGTCGCTACCCTGCCGACAAGGCCTGCTGCGCGTGGGCCCAGCAGGTGGGCCACGCCGCCACCAGCCGAGGCGGCCTGTCCTGTGCTGCTGCACCGCGACAGTGCGCAGACGGCGCTGATTCCGAGGCGCGACAGTGACGGCTGTGACTCCGGCGCGCGGGAATATGGACGCTTTTGGTTCTTTCGCCCGGGAATCAATCCTGCCTTTGCTTCTTTTGCCTTAGCGGATGCGATGGCATTGGGAATCCGAGGCTACGGGAAGCTGTTGTGACGACACTACAGGGATCGTAAATATCCCCGCTTAATTTTCTCGCCATCATTTATCGTCTGAGCTTATAAAAGGAGACACCGAGGCTCTCGTCCAGCCATCCTCGAAATCGGCAGCGCGCAAAGTGTGTAACACATTTTTTCAGTCGGTATGAGTTTGCCTTGCTCGGATCAAAGCATTAGGCCGAGGAAAATGAAGAATGCAAGTTTGCCTCTGGGGGTGGCAGTCCTGCGGTGTTGGTGTGGCGATCTTTGCAAGGTAAAGGAGGTTACGGATTTTTCAGATTGGTTGGGCATGAAGTTTTTCATGTGCGCCAATTATGAGGAAGATCCACCCATAGCTATTTCAGAGTACGACAAGCCTCCGGTATGCTATAACCATCAAAAATAGATATTGTTGGTATTTTGATAGATTCTTTAATAACATTCTGGTTTCTTGTTGTAGTCTCCTCCGCCTCTGTGCATGTACTATCGTTGGATTGACACGGAGATGCCCGCTTGGGCAGTGACTAAGATTTGTGAAAGAAGTCGCCGTGCGTGGAATAGTTTCTATGCGGAAGAGCGACGCGAGAAGGCGGAAGCTGAGGAGAAAGCAGAGCAAGAGAGAGAGTTAAAAGAATACTATGCGGAGCAACACCGGTTTTTCCAGGATTTAGGAAAGAAAAACAGGGAAGAGGCTCGTCGCATGGAGGAGCAGGAACGACAGCGAAAGGAGGCTCGTGAGGCGGAGAGGCAGAGAAAGAAAGAAAGGGCTCGTCAGGCCAAGGCAGCAGAAGAAGCCGGCGATGGAAAAGGAAAATATCCACGTTGGACTCAGTAGATTCCTGTGGTAGTATTTTAAATTTCGCAATCATTTGTATCTTTATTTCTGCAGTTTAATGTAGCTTCATTTCAGTAGTTAAATGTAGCTTTATTTAAATTCTACGATGTATCTTATTTTCAGTTGTACCTTGTCGTGTTGTATCTTATTTTCAGTTGTACCTTGTCGTGATGGAAAAAATATATAGTTTTAGAATAAAGTAGTGGCATTTTCTTTCCCTTCATTAATTATCGAACATCGTGCAACAACTATAAAATGAAATTAAGATAGAACATAATGCCTTACAATAAGAGAGTACAAACTAATAATGCAAGTACATCTGAATTAAACGGTACAACTGGAATATAGCTTAAAAACTACATGAAGGCATCATCGTCATCCTCCGTCGATGCAGAACTCTTGCCCTTCGAGGATGCAGAACTCTTACCCTTGGACGATGAAGAACTCTTGCCCTTCGAGGATGCAGTACTCTTGCCCTTGGACGATGCAGAACTCTTGCCCTTTGACGATGCAGAACCCGGAAGCGGCGGCATGAAGATATCATCTTCGTCCTCGCTCTCCTCAGTCCATAAAAATGGATGCTTTTCTGCAGTCCTTCTAAAATATTGAGGGGAAAGCGTTGCCTGAAAATATATTTTTTTCAATGTCTAAGACGGGCAATGGTTGCACAGTATTCATCAGCCCAAATTTTAAAAAAAATTCATTTCGGCCTAACATAAGCAAAAGAGTGGAGCGGGATAGTATGGCGGGAGATATAGGCGGGAAAAATTGTTCCTGACTGGTGCATTTTTATTTCAGCATACATAGATGTTCAAATCGAAAAGTCTGATACAGACATATGTAGATACAATGGGTCGCGCATGTGCATAGATGAATCACCCTAATTTACGATGACCACCTGGCCTTTCCTTACGACCGGAAGGCGACAAGCGATTAGGTGGCCGGGTCACACGAAGACCGCGGCCGTACTCCAATTCGGCTTCATGTGTCTGCGAGTCCTGCGTAGGTGGTGGAGTCGCGAATCCTTGTTGCGAACCTGAAGCGTAATTGTAGGCGTATGGTTGTGACTCCGCGGGGATAAAAGATGGGCCAATAACGTCCCCTCTGAAGAACTCTGTAACTAATGATGTAACCGGGTCGCCAAGATCACGTGATGCTCCCCGGAGGCCTGTGTTGACGCCGCGTTGGGTGTTCTCATCGCCCCAATTAACATCAGGTGTGTCCTGCACATAGAAACATTTTAAACAAACTGTTAGAGGATAATATATGATATCATTGTAAATGCATTGAAATGTAAACATGACTACCAGAGCATATCCCTCTCTTATACTGTCTGGCCATTGTACGTTGTGCTGGTTTAAATCTGGTACACGAGTCTCCTCGGCATGGGGATCCCTCGCGTGGAGAGATACGGCTGAGATCCCTCACCTTGGGTGTATGCATCATATCCTGTGTACGCATCGTGCCATGGGTTAGGGGAAAGAAACTGCTCAGGCATTGAATCCAAGCCCATGCCATGGTCCTGAGATGTCTGCCCCTGACGAAGCTGCATCGAAGAAGAGCGATGCAGTGGCAGAGATGAGTCATGTCGTGGCAATGTCGTTCTAGTACTCGGACCCTCCCCCCATTGCTCATGGCTCGTACGCGCCTCGCTCGGTCTGGACGACGGCGCCGCACTCGGTCTGGCTGACCTCGCTACCGGCATGTATGCTCCAGTGACAACGTCGTCGCCTCTACCGCATCTGAACTTCTTTGCCATGAATTGTTGCAAAAGTTTCTGGAATGTCTTGCGATATGGGCCCTGGGCCGGCATGCTATTCATAGCCATCTGCCCTACTTCATCGACATTTTCAAGTTGAACAATATTTGGATGTTATTTAGTTCAAATGATTATGAAATGATGGACCTAAAAAAGTTACAAGTGATTACCATCTGGTCACGATAGTAAGCTGCATGCAGCTCAACATGTCTCCGCGCCTGCTCCTCTTGTGTGAGATGTGTTGGTATATTAGCTGGCTGACTGGCCAGGCTAGCACGTGTGTTCATGCAGTACCACTGCTTGTACGCTTGATCTGTACTTTCATCGTACGGTCTACAAAATTAAATAATTACATAAACCGTTGTGATGAAAGCAAAGCATCTTCACGCATCGTATGATCATCGTAAAAAAATAATGTACATAAAATATACCTAAGTTGATGCACTATATCTGCTAGCGCTTCATTTTCCCACTTGTGTACCCATTCAATGTTCTCTTCCCTCCAATCGTATAAACTCCAACCCCTGCCCATATTGGTTAGCCTGCAAATTATGTAACAAAGTGTGAGTTTAGTAAATTAAAAAGGACACTAACTATTTAGGGATGTCACATCTTACTTATGTGTTTCCTCGTCGATACGTCTGGGAAAGGTGGTGGAATTTCTTGATAGAGACCGAATTGTCTCATTACACGCTCTGGGTTGTAAGGCTCAACACACCACAGGAACAATAAGTTGCAGCGAGTCAGCCAGAATGCACTATCGGTCAACATGCCTGGTGTGAAGTGTCGAGCATCAAAGACCATTTTTAGCTGGTCCTGAGTCTACGGGTTCCATGTGACTTCTGCCTCATCAAGTATCTCAAACTGCTGGTGGTACATAGGGTAACAATTTTTTGCAATATCTGGAGACCAACGTTTCCGTGCCTTTGTCCACCTAGTGGCCATAGTTGCGCAAGCACCCTCGCTAAAGTCGTATGGGTATATGGGTTGTACTATACGAGGTCGTCCTACAGGGAGGTATTCCCAGGACCACAACTGTAGAAACTCATAGGCGACACAAAGTAATGGAGCTTTTTGTGCGAAAGAGGTTTTTTGCGTGGCATCACACAAGCCTCTGTATGTATGAGATAGCATGGCAGAACCGAAGCTGCATTTTGACTGCTCGGGTAAAGGTTCATCTACCATATTCTCTGCAATGTAGATGAGACCAGGGACAACAACGTCCCCATGTGAATTTGGAAATAGATTCCCGAGGAGCCACAACAAATATGCAAACAGATGTCTTTTTCTCGTCTCCTTATTGGCGAAGCTAGAAAAATTAAGAAAGTTATCACGAAGCCAGACAAGTGGGATGCCCCGAGGGTTACCAGAACGTTGTGATTCTGGCATTTCCATCCCAAGACGGGCTGCTATATCTAATTCTCAAGGTGGAGACACTCGTGGAGAGACTACCGGCTCACCTCTAATTGGTAGAGCAGTGATCATAGAAACATCTTTTAGTGTAGGTGCAAGCTCCCCAAAATGAAAGTGAAAGGTGTGGGTTTCAGGTCTCCACCAGTCAACGAGGGATGTCAAAAGGGATGGGTCCGAACGTACTTGGTCGTGGCATGATGTGAGCCTAGCAAAACCTTG